TATCATGAGAGACGAGTCTCTGGGAAGGGCGTTGCTGAAAACAGTCGGTATGATTCTTTCTCGGGAAAAGGGAACGTTACTCTCAGGGCTTTCTGTAAACACAGTCCGTTCCTCTGTGTGATTCATCCCATTGCCACATCTAAGGAAATGGGGGTATTAAATGACTCCTAAATGATATGCCATTATGCCAGAAGTGTTGCTTGATTAGAAGATTAACAGGCTCTTCGTTGACTTTCATCGTCGTCCTGTAGGTGGAATGTTCTTGGCAACAGGGAGCACAGATCATGTCATTCGAGTCTATTTCTTCGGTTCCGGGCAACCGGAGAAGATATCAGAGTTGGAATCGCATACTGTACGTGCCTCTGATCCCACCTCACATCTGTTTGTCCCTGTGTTTGTATCATGTCATGTCACTTACATGCTATATCCGCACCCCCCCCCCCCACCCTCCCTCAACAGGATAAAGTGGACAGTATACAATTCTCCAACTGCAGCGACCGGTAAGTGATCCTATTTCACGATGTTACTGTTTGAGTTTTTTTTTTTAAATTTTTTTATTAAGATTCTTAAGGACTTTGAACGACTGGGGCAGTGAGTAAAAAGGACAAACGTGCCCCCCAGCCCCCTGTCCTATGCTGTTCCGTAAGTCTAACTGTAGCAAATTCCTATCTGCCTCAAACCCCAGAAACAATGGGCTATTTAGCGACCGTGAGCATGGCCGCTGCTTATGGTGGGACGGGGGCCAATATCTTTGGGTGCCTCCCTCTTGGGTGGGTTTCGCTGGAAAGGAGGCGGGAGCGAACGAAGGTGGAGACAAGGCTGTCCGACAACAGCGGCTGACGTGTTGGGACATGGTCTGAGTTTGGTGTGGAAGAAAGAACAGAATCTCCGAGGTGTAATTATGCAGCAGGAAGGGTCATACGGAGCCTCTGGGCACTTTTCATTTCTGTTAGTATAGCTGAGCCTGTTTCATGGTACTTTAAAGACCATTTTGCTGGTTTAATGTTTAATGTTCTGAGATGGCGATGACGACGGTGAAGTCTTTGAAGGGCAATGTGCGGCTGAGAGGTTTCGATGCAGGACCTGTGATCGGATGGTTGCTGGTTCAAATCTCATGATCAGCACAGTGATTTTACCATTGGGCTTTTCAGAAAGGCAGGCCCTTAACCTCCAGCTGCTCCAGTGACTCTGACCCATAATGTAATGTAATGAATGAAACACTAGTGACACCATCTCTCGGGTACTAGGTTGTGAATTAATGTTGCCATCTCACTTAAATATTGTCGTGGGGACTCGGTGTTAGAGCTCCTGGGAAAGCCTTTCACAAACACACCTGCTCCCAGACAGCAAACGCTTATGACGATGTCCCTGATGCCTGTCTCTCCTGACTGTGCCTCTGCCCTGCCCATGGATGCGGCACCGAACTGCTCCAGCGTATTCAGTCTGCTGACTGTCTCATGGGTTCAAAGGTCACGCCCCCTGCTGGCTTTCAGAAATCCACTGATGGTCAGTTAATCTGCGGGTTTTACCTTCCTGATTTTTATGGACCGTCGACCCCGTTTCTCTCGCTGGCCCATCCGTCGTATCAGTTTGTTGTGTTTTGCCGCATCTCCATCTCAGCGTCTCCTTTTGCTCTATCAGGAAATGCGATTAAAAAAAAAATTTACACCTTAAACACAATATGTCCAAGTGTCAGGTTTCAGTTCAAAAATTTATACCTCTTCATCGTCTCGTCTGATAACTTTCCTACCTTTTCCCCCCAAACCCCAGATAACCGGGTTCAAAGTAACACCAAGTACATGAAACTAAACTATCAGTTGTTGTGGTTTACCAGGCACCTCCGCCACAGAGTGGTTTTTTATGTCCCCCCCCCCCCCGAGATAAAAAGCGCTTCCCCAGCTAAGTGCAATGACAGCAGGTGCACATTATCTGCCGCTGAAGATCCACCAGTGGATCTGGTTTCTCAGGGCTGTCCTTAATGGAGATGCACAGAGGAGGCTAAATGCCAGCAGGAGGCCCCGTTTGCTGGAGCGACGTGAGGCAGCCCTGAATAACAGGCTTCTTACTGTGTTTCCTCCTGCCCCATATATACAGACAAACATTGTGTCTGCATCCATCCATCTTCTGACCACTTATCCGGTACAGGAACACTGTGAACCTGCAGCTTGTCTCTGGAATTGTAAAGTCGGGAGGGGGGGGGGCCAGTCCATCACAGGGTCCTCACTCACAGATACTCAGTCACAGTGGCATTTCAGTGAACGCTGAACACTGGCATAACTAAGTAATGTATCCTTGTGTTGTTACACGGCGGTTCAGTACTGTATGGACCAGGCATATTTACACACAGGAACACAGCAATATTCACTAGGCTTGGGCAGTATCTATTTTCATGCATCCATACCTTCAAGACATGTCACCGCGGAATGTGGTATATGATGGTATTTAAAAATTCACATATGCCGCAATTTATGGCGCATTCACAGCGCATTTCATTTTATGCCATTCACCAATGCATGCGCGTTATTCATTGACTTGTATCAATGTTTTTTTTATTTTATTTTAACTTCAATGAGTCTTCAGTCATCACTAACACTGTGCAGCACAATACATCAGTTTCATAGAAAGAGGAGCATCTGTATTTTTTCTGTTATTAAAAATAATCCCTTTGTGATCTAAATACTGGGCTGTACCCTAATAGTCATACCATCCAAACCTAGTATTTACTGTATTCTTCAGTTTGCATATATAGTACAGCTGTGAAAGATAATGTGCTAATGCATGGCATTAATTCTAAAGATGCAACGCATTATTTCTTGTTTGTTAACCTATGCAGTATTACACGTATGGGAGAATAATATGAGCACGGATTTTTAATAGGGACCTGTAGTATCCCTTTCTGGCTATAAAGAGTGCGAGAGGTTCAGTCATGCACAGAATCACAGCTAGAATCGCACCATGCAGTAAGGGGTGTGTTACTGGGAAACCTATGGAGGGGAAAGGAGAGGAAACCTTCTTACCTGGTTCGTTTCATTTAAAAAAAATGCCAGACAGAGGCATAAATAGGATTAAAAAGTAATTTGCAATATTTGTTTTATTTTATTCATGGCTATTATCTGAAAATGAATATTTTTCCAGCTGTTAAGTGCACTTTCAGTGGTTGTCAGGCTTGTTTTTAGAGCTGTTTGCCAAATAGGATTTAATTTACATGTTTGTATACACAGTTAAACACTGAGGTGTGTGTGCCGTGGTTTGACAGCCCTGCTTGTAATACACTGCCCTGTACTTTCTTATTGCCATCTGTTCACCTTAATCTCTTTGGAAGCCATGAACTTCAAGTTGTACTTATTTGCAAGTAGAAGTTTTGTTAGAATTGAATAATCTGTATATCACAAGTTTGTTAAACTGTTAAGTGTTTAACTTCTAAATTATACTTCCATTATGTTAATTCTACATTTATTTGTGGATTCAATGTGTAATATTTATGATGTATAAGTTTTAATGTTAGGTGTGATGAATTAATTTCTTAATCTAAAAAAAGCACATTCTTTAGGTTCACTGCTGTATTCTGCACTGTGTGGGGGAATTTGCCTGGTTCAGTGCAGTATTGACTGCACTGAACACCGCACTGTATGCGCGTGAATACGCCCGGTCTGCTACAGTCTTTACTGTGTTCCTCTATGTGTGTCTCTTAGGTTTGTCAGCGGCAGCCGAGATGGTACAGCGCGAATCTGGCAGCTACACCAGCAGGAGTGGAGGAGTATCCTGCTGGACATGGCTAGCAAGCTCCCAGGGTGAGGAACAGCCCCCCCCCCCCCCCCGCCCCTCGTCTGCCCCGCAGCCCTGGCCATGTGGGACGTCTCTCCCTCCCTCCCCCTCTGTCCATTAACTAGGTCAGGTGAAATATTGAATAGGCACTTGTTAAATTTATCTCTGCTTGTCTGTGCCCCCCCCTCCCCCCTCAATAGGAGCAACCCCCCACCTCTGGAAGACAAAGTAACCAAGCTGAAAGTTACGATGGTGGCTTGGGATCGCCATGACAACACGGTCATCACCGCAGCGAACAACCTCACGCTGAAGGTCTGGAACTCCTACACGGGGAACCTCATCCACATCCTCACGGTGAGCAGCACAGCCGTGTCACACGGGAAGGCGGCACGCTGTCCCCTCCAAATACACGCCAGCATCACTTGACGTCCGAACGGCTGGTTTGAACATGAGCGGGACTGATTTTGTAAGAAATAACCAACATCACCAAGCTTGCAGTTATTCTCCGAAGGTGTACATGGGTGACGCCTCGGCAGTGATGTGGGAAGAGCGCTATACAAAAATGAAGCAGATTATCAGCATTTTAGCTGTATAATAGCCTGACCTTTGCTCTGGTTAGATGTATTGTACAGTTACACTATTTCAGAATCATTTTTCATTATTTGCTTTCCTGTTTTTGACTGACTCCTCAGGGCGTCGCTACTCGGCACTAATGGTGTGGTGGCTTATCTTTCAGGGGCACGAGGATGAGGTGTTTGTGCTGGAGCCGCATCCCTTTGACCCTAGGGTGCTGTTCTCCGCGGGGCATGACGGCAATGCCATCGTCTGGGATCTGGCCAGAGGAGTGAAAATCCGCTCATACTTCAACATGGTACCTGCTAGACCACACACTTTTGACTTTTGTACACTGTCTTCCCTCATACTCTGACTCATTAATTGCTTTTCCTTTCCGTGAATTTCCTTGATTTTTTTAATTGCCTGAATGTTTTTGGTGTCACGTAACCACCACGTAAGTCTTAGACACCATAAAATAATGAGTCGACTAGATAGCACTATCTAGTTTCTGACCAGAGTAAGTTTTATTTCCTATAATTATCCTCATTATTTAGTTTCTTAATTTCTGTAATTATCGTTTTCCCCTGCTCCGCTACCATGGTAACAGTTGAGGATCAGCGGCAGTAACGTCTGGTGCGGTTTCTTCACTTTAACGTTACCGTTAAATGGTAATTAGTACGGGTCGTTCCGCCGCTTTCAGATCGAGGGACAGGGCCACGGCGCCGTGTTCGACTGCAAGTGCTCACCGGACGGCCAGCATTTCGCCTGCACCGACTCCCACGGACACCTGCTCATTTTTGGCTTCGGCTCCAGCAGCAAGTACGATAAGGTAGGCGGCCCTCCCGTCGCTCCAGACGCCCGTGATCACCCCCCTATGTCTTCCTCTCGTAACCTCAGCGTAGCGTGACGGTGCACAGCTGTCTTGTGATCAATATTGTGCCCTTTTGACTAAAGCATGTTAAATCTCTGATGTTTGTTGTTGATGACATGTCGTTGTCCCTCTTGTTTATTTTTGAAATGTCCCATGGTTGCTGGTGGCAGGCTTGCCCATTGAACTCTGCGACCTCTCAATGTTTTAGATTGCAGATCAGATGTTCTTCCACACTGACTACAGGCCGTTGATCCGCGACGCCAACAACTACGTGCTGGATGAGCAGACCCAGCAGGCCCCACACCTCATGCCCCCCCCTTTCCTGGTGGACGTGGATGGGAACCCCCACCCTTCCCGCTTCCAGAGGCTGGTGCCCGGCCGGGAGAACTGCCGGGAGGAGCAACTCATTCCCCAGATGGGGGTCACATCCTCGGGTAGGCCTTGAAGTGGGAGGGGGATGGGGTCACGGTCAGGTTCTCGAGTAGGCCTTGAAGGGAGAAAGAGTTGGGGCTATGGTCACGTCCTCAGGTAGGGGTC